ACTGCACCAGCTACTAAGAAGGAGAAAAATGACTGCTACTGCTGAACCCAGGACACAGTTCTTTGCTCTTGTTTATCTCAAAGCACTTCTAAAATGTCTGCATTTTCTTTTCTGTTTAGCAGCTGGAGAAACTGAGACGCAGTCATGAGGAACTGGCTCTCAGCTGCAGAATGTAGCATATAAACCAGTTTTCTTGAGTCCTAGCCCAGGGTTTTATTAACCAGACCAGGCTAAAAAGCAACCAGAAACTTAATTATACTACACTGTGACTAGGAAGTATCTGGCAGTGCTCATCTGAGATAGAAGAGGGAATGAAGTCATAATTTATTTGTTGGAGACTAGTCACTGTTGCAAATGAGTGATCTGCAACTCCGTTAGTCTGAAAGAGCCTCTATTCAGTGCTGGGCATTTATTACTTCCAACAGTTCACCTTTTCAGGTTATATTATCAATAAACGAAGGAATGATTCTGGCCTCTCTGCAAGACAGAAAGCTTCTTTCCTGCCTCCTCTCCTCAGCCCCTTCTCGAGAGATCTCTACTTTATTTTCTTGCCCTTCTGTGTCCTGTTGAATCACACTGTGAGTATAAGTGTTTTGTGATCTCTTGTATTTTTCTTCTCAACTTTCCTTTCAAAGAGACAAGAACCATAGGAAAAAACATTCCTTTAGAAAAGATCAGTTTCACAGATTATGAACTCTAGGACAAGGTTTCAAGAGAGAAAGTCCTCCATGAAGTAAAGAAATTGTCATTCACCCTGCAAACAGAAGGTCGTTGTCATTCTCTGTGAGATAGTCCTCACTTAGACTTTCCCAGAGGGAAAAGACCAGTTTAGACATGTCTCCACAGTGCTGATAGTGAGAAGAAAAAGCTCTCTTACAGACCTAAGTAAGGATAAAATAAAGAATTCACATGAAATTCAACTAGAAGCTACAAACTTCAATATAACTCCCTCCATGCATAAGTACTTGAAGATCAGGAGACCTCAGACACACAAGTGTCATCATTATTTGAACAGGTAGCTTTTCATATCTCTTGTGTGGGTCTTTCCATTGGTGTGGGTTGTTGGGGTTTTTTGTTTGTTTTTGTTTTTGCTTGTTTGGTTGTTTTTTTTTTGTTTGATTTTTTTGTGTGTGTGGGTTGGTTTTTTTGTTTGTTTTTTGTTTTTTTTTGTTTGGTTGGTTGATTGGTTGGTTTGTTTTTTTAAGGTTTGGGGTTTTTTGAATGCTTGTAAACTTTCAGTAGTTACAACATTCTGCATCAAGAGTTCCCATGGCTGAACTATATGGTTTATAAAGAAACGCTTCCCTGAATTGCACTGCTCTCTACCATGAACTCATTTCACAGTCCTCCAGCCATTGCTTTTCCATCTTGAATAGTCCTAAGATGCTTGATCACTCCCTGTGCTGAAGCTCTTCCATATTTTTATTGTCCTTGATATGTCCTTTGGATCTTTTCCCAGTAATCTTATTCAAACATAAGGCTGCCAGAAATACAGAGGGAGGGAGTGCTGAAGAAGTGGGAGTCATGGGTTTATACAGTGCTATAATAATGACTTCTATCCTGTTGTCTATGTCTTCATAATAACTCCTAACCTTACACCTGCTTTTAGGATTGCTACTGATCATTAAGCCACTGTGGCAGGACTATCTGTTTTAACTCCATCATCTTCCTCTTGAAAGACTAACAGATAGCTGGTGACCCTTTGATGAATGTGCAGTAAGGACTGATTTTTTTCCCAGTGTGCACCACTTGGTTTTTGTTTTTTTTCCCTACACTGAATTTGATTTGATATTTTATTATCCGACGATCCAGAAGAGTGAGGTTAATGACATTGCCCCCCTGTTCACAGATAAGAAATAGAAAAATGAAGACTTATACAGGGTTTTCAACAGAGGAGAGGGCAAAAGATGGGTCTGTTTGCATCATCACTTTTTTCACGTGAGAAAATGTTTCTTCTAAAACTTCTTTAATGTTCTTGTATACCTGTATACCTGCAGTGTTTGAGGGAGTCTGCACAGAAGCAGCCATTTCCCTTTGCTTCCAGAAGCAGGGAGCAGGTAAACAGAAGGAAAAGGAAAATCCCAAAAACTGAACATGGGAAGGAAGATGAGATCAGGGAGATTTTAAGGAAGGAAGAGACGCTAAACAAATCCTTAAAGTGCCACAAATTAGGTACAAGGACAGGGGGTTTATGTCTTTTATGCCAAAGTATTCAAAAGCATCTGTCAAAACATTCAAACTAAATCTAAACCACCACCTAAAATCTTGACATCTAGTAATAAGCTAGCTAATGATTTTACAGTAACACAAACCACAGGAAGGAGATGCAGCTGGGATGGGGAGTCCAGCACAGGGCCCTGAAGATGGGGCTTGACGTTTCTTCTGTCACTGGGAAAGCAGGTGTGTGCATTGCTCAAGGCTTCTGTAGGCTGGTATGAGCCACACAGCTACAGGTCAACAGACCTGTTACTGCAGCCTGCTCATGGGGAGATCTGCAGCCATGGTGGCCTGGTGCTGTTGCACACCTTTGTGGAAGACCATCAGCTTTTAATATTGAAATTAATCTTGCTGCTTGCTCAGCTCCACATTCAACCCCCCTTTCAGCTACAGCACTATAAAAGATGTGACAGCATTTGGGGATGTAATTGAAAACATTTCAGCCAGGATGCAGGTTTGGGAAGCATATGGGCAATATCCTGCAAATCATTTCCATATATAGCTGTTATTTCAGAGCAGATCTTGTGTATGTAACTGCAGCTTCTGTTATCTCCTTTTCTCTCCTACCTTCCCAAAACTTCCCATCTGTTTGCCTCTCAAATTAACTGGGCATTTTAACACAATGGGCAAGCTCCCCTGATCTATTATCTTGAAGGAAATTTTGATGACTTAGACTTGCTGGCCTGCATATTAACTCTTAGTTTTCTGCAGTTCGCTACAGCTCTTTACAAATTGACTGGCTACATGCCACACATGGAGACTACCATGAGATTTCAGGATGTAAATGTTCTTATCAAACACACGTCAAGCAGCAGCACCCTATTAAAGCAGGACAGCCTTGTTAGCCCCATATTAAACCTATTCTTTCCAGTTAGCACCACCTCAGTGTATTCAGAAGGCATCTTGACCAGTCTTGCTTGGATCCCAGGAATTCAGCTCTTTCGTATACTGGCTCAATCTCAGTTAGCTCCACTCCATTTCCATGGGGCAGTATAAATACTACTCTGTCACAAGTGTCCATCTCATTAAAGGCACCTTTACTCAATACCTTGTGCCCTGGCATGTCGAGTTTTTAAGAACAGTTAAGTAAAAAGTAGACAGAGCTTTGTAAACTAACTCTGCAAGACTGGGCAAGGCATTTGCTGCAAGCACACTCCCTGTCCATAGGAGCAGCCTGAAGCAGGGTGAAATCCAACATTTCATGCCATGTCAGGGTATGGTAGCATATAACATCTGGAAAGTGATTTCCTTAAATGACACTCATCTATGACCTATGAGCCCTGCTACTGTAGGACAATTGCAGTCCATATTAAAACTGAAAATAACCATGTCACTAGCTTCACGATCATAACTGTTTCTCAGAGCTGAGCTAAAGGCTTTCTCCTGCAGAGAAATTGCTTCTTGCTTACATGTATGTTTACTGAAATGTGCATTGGTCAAAACAATGAATGTTGAATATGTTTCTGACCAATATAAGCAAAAATCCACAAGCAACAAAAGGTCTGTATTATCCATATTGGAAATTCCTCTCAAGGACACTATCTAGCCCAGCACAGAAAGGAGATTAAATCAGACTCTCATGCCTGGAGGCAAACACTTGGTTGGAAAAGAGCCCAAAGGCTTGACTAAACTGATTGAAAGCAATCAAGAGAGTCTTGGGAGCTTTAGTGAGCTTGGATGAGACTCCACTGCAAGCTCATCCTGGGCAAAAAACATTACTTCCATAACCAGAACTGCTGCCTTCTACTTCTCCCTGCACAGGTAGTTCACAGCTGCCTCAAGCTCATAAAACAGATTGTCGCCTGTCTTTTTAACAGGTTCCCTGACAGAGAAAGACCTTGAGACACTTCCAGCACAAGCTCAAGGAGTGCCTATGCTGAGACAGAGGCAAACGCACACTTCTTTCTAGCCCGCATGCTGGTTGATTTACTTTACTACGCAAGATAGCCTAGAAGAGCCACCTATGGCCTGGAGCTCCAGACAATAATTAAGTTGTTGATGGGTTGCCCCAGCATTACAGTAATTGATGATTAAAGCAGGAACAGGACACTGCTGAGGCCTGGCACGCAATAAGGCTGCTCAGTTACTCTCCTCCAAATTCACACCACTGAGCAATTTTGTCACATGCATCGTTCCAGGATGCTAACAGCTTTGCTGTTTCCTAATCAGCTGTGGCAATTTACACAATTTCTGGCTGTGTTTTACATCAAACCTCATTTGATTCTCTGGTATGTTGCAATACTACTAAAGACAACCATCCTTTAAATATGCTTTCCACACGCACCATTCCCTTTCTTTACCAGCTTTAGATGAAAAGGGCAACACACAGCTGTGTGTGCTAATTAAGAGAGTCCTTATATATTGCACCCAGCATACTTCTGTTTCCAAAACAGTTCTCACATCTAACCTAACAGCTGATATAGTAAAAGATTTATAATGACAATGGTATCACTGAACATGGATTTGAGATAGAAAGGATGACATTTTCTTGTTTCATGTAGGCAGTGCTACATCCAGCCAGCAGACAAGAAGGAATCTGAGCACCAGCTTAATCTAGCACTAGCTTAAGCTTTTACATATGCAGAACAGAGAGAAGAAACTTGTGACACTGCTGTGCATAAGCTTGTATTGCTAATTTATAGATCACCATTTCAGAATAGATCTCTCATAACAAAGACCTCGGGTGAGAGGGAGAGATCTTCTTGAGTCTAAAATACTCCTAATTGGAAGAAAAGTGCCTCATGACATATTCCAAGCATTGTATCATCAAATGCTTACCCAAGCAGATGGCTGAACTTGCGCAGTGGGGTTCCTTCTTGTAATCTGCTGCCACTAAGAGCCTTTTGAGCCAGATCCAAAACCTCTTCAAGTCAATGGGAGTTTTTTCAATTAACTTCAGTATAAGTTGGGTAGGATCCAGAGAATTAAGTGTCCCTGGAGATGCCTTCTGGGCATCTGCTGACACTCCAAGGGGGAATTTCCAATTCCTTTGGGTATTGTTTTTAGAAAGTTCTGAAACAAGAGAGGTTACGTTTAAATTTCCAGAAATTCACACTACAGGAAAATCCTGGCCCTGTTGAAACAAGAGGAAATATTGCCTTTGGTAGGAATTTACACTTCTGACTACCATTTGCTCTATCCCTGTGGTTTTACCAGCTCAGAAAGCTGATGAGGTTGGCCAACTGGTTCTTTCAGTACCAAACAAACGAGGCCAAAAATAAGCACCTAATCACTGGTCTTGAGATGCCCCTTACAACTCTAAGGTCTGGAAACTTTCCATCATTCCATTTCTTGGGGGTTTATAGCAGCCTTAACCTATGAGATCTATTAACATCAGCCTTCCCATTCCTTCCATGCTTGAACTATTTTAAAAAATTCTGCAATTAAGCTAAAATCTCCTGAAGTTTTGCATAAACCTGGTCTACCTCTTGGATGTGAAGTGTTGCTATTCCCTAGTTCAGTTTTACTTCTCCACAGAGCAGAAAGACCTACTAAGTACTGCTAAGAGCAAAATTAAGCATAATTTTCACTGAAAGAAAGCAGGTTAGATATTCAGGACTAGGTCTTTTCAGATAGCTATTACAGTGGCTTACTGGGGATATGGTAAATAAAATTTTCCTACGTTTACCTCAGGTAATTATATGCCTCTAGCAAAAAAAAAAAAAAAAATGAAAAAAGGAGTAACAAGCTCTGGTAATGGCAGAACAGAGTTAAAAATGGTTCCTCAAGGTGACAGTCCACAAGTGAAAAACTAAAGCCCATTCTGCAGCTCTATCAAGTGGGATGCTCTTTCTCTCACTAAGTTCTGCTGGGGGCTGAGGGGACTGTATCCACTGGAAAGGCATCTTCAGTGGTGCAAGACACTGTGGTGAAGTCAAGGCTGAACAGGTCATGCTAAAGATGCAGTCAAAGGAAAAGGCCTTTGACTTAAGGAATCTTTCTACCACCCCCTCCTTCATGTCCTCAATTTCTGTGACCCCTGAAATCTTAAGGCTAAAGTGGTTCAATTTGATGAGTTTTTCATATACAGCTAAAAGAACCTGTTATATACTGATATGGAGATGTATATGCCAATTCAGTGTTCTAGTGTTCTGTTTATTTATGTAGTGTATCTGGATTTAATTTAACCTGAAAAATTCAACTTTACCTTGGCATTTGAAAAACTGAGGTTTTTTATTTCTTTCCAGTCACAAATTTTCTTTTTTTTTTAATAGGTAGAATACTCACAATACTGAAAAGAAGATGTTTGGATTTTGGAAGAGACAAATGCTTTCAAAATTCTGTTTCAAAAAGCAATAATTGGAGGGCTTTTTAGTTTTTCGTTGAACCTGAATGCATATATTGGCCATTTTTCATTTGCAAACTTGTGGAAAGCCTGCACAATGACTTGGCTCTGGCTGGAAGACCTAACTTTACACACTGCTACATTAGCTTCCCTATGGAAATCCTACAGGCCCACAAATGGAAGGGCATGCACACTTCTTTCTCCACTCCACCTTTGTTCTGTGCCTTCAACATGGAGAAACTGCCCGGAAAAGAGTCCTGGGAGACTATGTGGCTGCAGACCTGGTATCAAGACACATACAGACCTTCATCAATTTGTGGTTCTCCATCAGTTCAAATCCTTACTGCTTATTCCAGGCTTTCTAAAATAGTAGCAGAAGGGTACTGGAGAAGTCAATATTCTATTTGTTGGCATCAACAATATCATAGTCCTGCTATGCAAGTATCACTTTGATATAATATGTTCCACAGAATCTTAATCTTGACATTCCTTGAAGTATGACGATAGACAAAAAGATCTAACTTTGTAAAGGGTTAAACTACTAAAAGGAGATTCTTCTGAGAGGTAATTCAATCTTTCACTACCTTTTCAAATTAATCTTACCCAATCTTCTGAACTATGTCCTGAGCTACTGAATATATTTCTGTGCTGTAAACACCAGGACAAAGTCAGCGTAAAAATCTTGTTATCAGTTAACTAGCTTGAAGTCTTTCCTATATTTTGTGTTGACTGCAATGATAAATAATTTATTTTCGGAGTAGCAGATCTCAAATAAATTTCTAAAACAAAACTCCTGCAAAACACAATTGTTATTCAACTCATTTTAACAATTCGATAAATGCAGTGCAATGAGTTCCATTAGCTATTCTCCTAGCCAAGGTCTACTACATCATTAAATATTATCGAGTTGGGTCTGCCATTTTACTTGAAATTATGTGCCTGGCATTTTAGTCTATGGCCATAAATGCTGGAAATGTCAGTTATATAAGCATCCATCTTTTTCACTACTGTCTCCCATCAAACATTAATGGTGGGAGCTCTAATCCATTCTACACAGTCCCAGATACATACATTTGCTAGGAAAGGAACTGTAACAGAGCACACTGACAATTCACAGTAAGTAATTACTCTTAGAAATATCTCAGTAAACTCAATTTGCTCCCAGAGGTCTTTTAAATTATATCTCGTTAGAGTGCAATGTTTTTTCAAATGACAAGGTCACACAAAAAAGCAAAACTACTTTATCTTTATCAGAGCTTTACTCCCCCCCCCATAAAACTGTTATAACACATAATTCCAACCAGATAGAGATACTGTGTTTTACTGTTGGAGCTCAGGAAAGCTATAAAGCAAGCTGAGTTGTTGTTTACAGTCACAATAAATTTAGAATATCGCATAGCATTCTAGGTGAGGCAAACACATCTACTAATGTCAGCTGAGTGGGAAGAAGTAAATTTTTTTTAACTTCACTGGTAAAATAATTCTATTTTGAATTTACACTAAAAACCTCATGAATCAGAGAAAAAAATAATCTTTATATTAATATAGCAAAATACACACTATCTCATTACTCTGCATATCTGTCTTGGTGACTTTACAAGCAAGAGCTTATTGAAAAGCAACATGGATTATGTAGTTGACCAACACTTCTAATTTTATCATAAGTCTTGATAGTTGGTATTCTTTCTTATAATCCCAGCTTCTCAACCTATGCAATTAGGAAAGTATATAAAAAAATAGTCTCTGCATTGTTTTTTCTGAAAAGCACAAAATTATGTTGTTGTGTACCCTGAGCAGAAGCTAAATAAACTCTTTTTTACAGTGTAAGACTCTTTGAATTTATATGCCAATCTCTTGCTATTCAGGAATAGGGTAGAAAAGTACTCTTCATTCTTTAAGACTTCGCCAAATGTACCATGGAACAATCACACAGAACAATGAGAAAGACAACTACAGTGTAAAAGTAGCAACATAATCACATTTTAGCAGCATTCATTTTGGGTACTAAAGGTGCACCTTGTGTTAATAAATAGGCAGAAGCAGCTAAGCAGTGCCTTCATCAAGGATATCCTCAATTTTGTTCCCATTTGAAAAACTACTCCTTCAACTGAAGATGTGCTTTTATTCTTAAGTCCAAGTTACCTGGCACATTAAAAGAATGAACCTAATACCACTGATCTGTCTCAGCAAATAACTACCTCTGAAGGCACAGCCCAGTTTTAGAGCCATGTATAGGGGATGGGACACAACATCATTCTGAAAGCGCAGTTAAGACCAAGTCTTTCCTGAAATGTACCTAAATGAACTTACCTACTCAAAGCAAAGGTCAGAAAAGCAGGAATAACTTTGGAAGAACAGATGTCCTCATAGTGAGTGGGTTTTTCTTTTTAATCCTTTCCTTTTGCAAAGATATTATACAGGAATGGTTTGGGAGAGTCTTGCAGAAAATTAAATGGGCATAGCACAAGGACTGTCATAACAGTCAAGAAATTTTCTGAGCAGCACTTTTATAAGCTTTACCATCTTGCATTTGACTTATTTCCATTTTTTTCTTTGACAAGCACATGCTGAGATTTGCAAAAAGACAGCATCAACAGTCATCTTACAATCATCTTTTCCAGAAAGTTTACCTTCTGTAAGTAAGTCCTGTCAATGAAAAGCCTTCTTCTTCTTCTGACAAGGGGTCTTCTAATGTTGTTACATATTCTTACATTGCTTAATCAATGCAATATATAAAAAGCAAATGCCTAAATTAATGCTTATAAACAGACCACAAAGTAACATTAGCTGAGACCAAAAAAGCACCCAACATCGGGTCCTTCAGGCTCTCAGTAGGTTTCTGAATTTGGGGTTTGCTGGTCTGTTTCTGACAGCTAGAAACCCATACCTTTCTGACAGGGGAGGGGCAAGGACTTGAGTAAAATCTTGCTGGCATGACATGACTGCATCTTTCTGCTACAATGGCATTTGCTTCTGTTTGCCATCAGTAGCAAAAATTATATATAAACTTATTCTATTTCTTCAGAGGCAGTAGTGACTGAAATACAAAGGTATCTATGTATTCAGAGGAGGGTAGAAGGACTCAGCAGAAATCAAAGCTGTACCTTAAATGTGGCTGGCACAGTTCTAGACGTGTTAAGGTAATGTAAGGGTGCCCAGTAAGGTACTACAAGACTGTCTACAGGACTGTCTATAGGACTGTCTACTCTTTCAGGAGGGGCCTTTTTTTGGCACATGACACCAACAAGAATTGTGAAGTCCTCTTTGAATAGGACAATTTCTTTGATCTTCATTAAGGTTTAGTGGCTATGAAAAACTTTGTGGATGAAAAGCCTTGGAATATTTATTAATAGATAACCATCTAAACTCAAAAAAATCTCCCTGTGAGGCACCAGAAGGCAGCTGCTTGAGCACAAAGCAGAAGCCACAGTGGAAGAAAGCATCTTTGCCCTTCTGAGCTGCTTGTGTAAGTCAGGGCACAGGCACCTTGTGATTTCTGTCCCTCTGTCCCCCCCGCACATGACTGTGTCTGCAGATCACTTAGTGCAGCAGTAAAAGTCATCCAAGAGAAAAAAAAAATAAAAAATTGACAGAACGGAAAATAAAAAATGATAGCACAGAATGTACAGAATGCAGGTTACTTCCTGTATCCTTACACAACTTAGACTGTAATTTGCAAGATCAGCAAGCATCATTCCTTTCTCTTCCTTTTCAGCTCTTATATGAAGAACAGTATTAACAGTGTTAATACCTCTGAAGACTGAGATTAGAAACATCTGACCAAGCCACCCTGCTCCAAGCTTCTCAGTTATTGAACTCTGCGTTGAGAACTCCTCAGCAATGGTTCAGACTGTTCAGTAAAACCTCAAATAGGTCAAATCTGCATCAAGGTAACTTTATGAATTTAGATCTGGTCCACCTGACTTAATGAAGAAAGCTCTGTCATTTTATTCCAGATGTAAATTTGACTCATAGCTCTGATTCATATCAGCTAGGAATTTGATCCCATGACTGCAAAAGAGCTGAGCTAATTTATGTTGCTGAAGAAAACTGGGACAAATATCTGTATCTGTAAAACCACAGTCGGAGCTCCCTCTTACCATAGTATCAAGCATTTCAAAACCAGCTCATAGCCTGAATTCTCCTTCCTTTTTTGGCCCACCTCTTTAGTATATCCACAAAACCCTGATATATTTAAAGAAAAGTAGGACTGGATGATGAAAATGTTAAATAAACATAATTGGAAGTTAGATTTATCTTATCCTATAGAAATACACCTTGTGTCTGAATTTTTGCATGTTTTTTTGCTGAGCTTTGACCTTTTAACACAGATCTTCATTTTCTCTTGCCCCAAACAAAACCAGAACATTTCAAACCCCAAATGAAAATAATACATTTAAGTTCATCACAGCAAATTTTGCTTCAGGAAAACAGACTTTCATCCTAACCAGAGTTTTCAGTAGGAAAGCACTAGGATGGGAAATTTTTGGCCAGCTGTACCAAATACGTTCATTCTTTCACTCTGACATTTTTACCTTGCTAGTAATGCTTCACTCCACACTGAGCCCCATTGATCTCCTGGAGCTGAGTGACATCTTTGCAGTCAACACATGCCAGACAGCGATGCCTGACCCATGCCACCTTGGAAGCAGAGTTAAGTGAGTTTGGGCTCTATGGATTCATGATGTAGGATGTCCTCTTGGCTTCCTCTCTGCTTCCTAAAAAGAAACGTGAAAGGTTAGTAATTAACCACTGTCTTAATTTCTTCAATCAGAAAGAGCATTTCTAATGCTTTTAAGATCTTCAGTCTATGAGGCACATCATTCCTACCTCTACAGGCTGTAAATTGAACTCAGAATAATGAAATAGAGAGGTGTGCTTCTCTTTACATTTTCTTTAAATTGAGTTTATAACTGGCAGAAGATTATCCAGAGGTCTTCCAGGATGTTCTCTATCTTCTTAAATCTTAAAGTTCTCTACATCTTTTTAAGTCTTTAAGTTTTTAAATCAAGACTGATGCATGCTTTAAGAAATTTGAGTCAGTTGAGCCACAGGTTGTTAAGCTTGTTGCAGTACTCAGTGGGTAAAATTTAATGCATACAGGTCAGTTTAGAAGAGCATCATAGTCCCTTCTACCTTAAAAATCTACAAACCTATGCAATGAGCAACAGAATGTAATCAACCTTTGGCTATCCTTACCCATTCCCCAGTTGTATTTTTTATTGCAACACCACAGAGACATAAAAATTCAAAACCTAACAGCAAGATTGAAATCAAAACAATTAAATGGAGAGAAAATGAAACAAATAAATGACCAAAGCCACTGCTTTTTTTTTGCCTTTTTTTTAACCCTTTTCATCACTCCTTTTCTTTTCATTGTATAGATCTCACTTGTAGCTTTTTAGAACCACCAAAAAAGCACTGCCATGAAAATCCAGGCTTTGCTGTCACTTTCATTTCCCATTGCATCTCAGGCCTCCCTGCACAAACAAGTCTTTAACAGAGCATTTTGTTCTCTTTTTACCATTCTTACCATGAAAATATCTTTTTAACTTGCATCAAGCTGAAGGATGACCAGGATTTTTGTTGTGTGCTGATAACAACCAAACACAGAGAGTCTGTGGCTTGTATTTCACAAGCGCATGGAGACAGATCACAGGCAGCCATTACCCCTTTTCACTTCTCTGCATCAGTCGACAAGTTACCATCTTCATGACTCCAAGGTTGAGGAAATTTGCCACAGTTTGCAGCAGGCTTAGGTATTGCAAATCAAGCTGGAGTCAGAGCAATGGCCAGGCGAGAACACAAAGAAACCATAGCCACTTCCAAACAAATCACATAGGCTTCCTCTCGTACTGAGGAGGATTACTATTGCAACAACACATCATCAGTAGGGTAAAACGAACCTGTCTCATGAGGTCCAGACCCCTGGTGTGTGTGCTTGGCTGAGGAGCCACTGGCACGAGGCTACCAACTGTGGGCTTATGACTGAGTGCCTCTAAATCAGAATCCCACCTAGATGCTTGATGTTGTGCTGTTGCATCATCGGCCACTCAAGATGGACGCAGGAGATGACAGCCTTGTTCAGAATGTGTGGGTTAAAGCCCTTTCTGAATCTTCATTAGCGAAGACAGGCCTTCCTCACAGGAGAAGGAAAACTCCTATCTTCAAACCCGGGCAGATGGAGCTCGTCTAGCCTTGTATGGTCTTCTATCAAAGAGAAGGACACTCTAACCAAACCTACTACCTGAGGACTTTGCTGTCACCGTCCTAGCTAGCTAGGCCGTGGCAGTTAAACCTCAGGTGTAAAAGGTGGGGCCAGTTCTGCTCAAGCTGCGCCTCACCTAAAACATCCACTGCGCAGGCTGGAAGAGCTTACTCTCACTTGTCTGTATGGGCGGGTGAGGGTCTAAATGGTAGGTGACAAGGTGCATGGGAAGCTGCAGATCCAACCTTGCATGCGGGCAGATCAGCGCATGGGTAGCTCAAGATTGCTCAGGAGATGACAGTCCTGGTCGGACACTTCCCGATTGCCTAAGCACCCTTTTTTTCCAACCAGATTTGCATATCCCACATGCCCTTGGTCACCGTGCTTGTAGTAAGAGCAGTTAAAGCCCTTCCCAAATCTTCACTCGAGAAGCCAAGCCATCAATCAAACATAGGCTTATTCATAACACTCAGAGAAAATCCATTAACTCCTACAAGGTTTAATCCAGATTACACTGCCACTGCTGAAACTTGATGCTGGCCCATAAACTGCTACAAATGAAGTTGAACTTTGCCACTTGTGTTTCTACAGCAAAGAATGCCCTATCATTATTCCAATGCTCACTGTCACCCACAAAAGACCATAAACTTTTACACAATGGTAAAGCTATGCTTTAGCCTTTTAAATGATCTGCATCTTGACTAGCTGTCCATTCTACTTTCTCCTTGCCAGTTATATTCAGGGGCCATAAACAAAGGGGAATGAGAACAGACAGTAAATTAAAGTGCAGGCAGCTGAAAAGGTCAAAGTAGTATGCTTTATTATTGTCTGTCACTGAGTATTATGGCATGTTAAAATTCATACACTGGTCTTTCAAGGAAATAGAAACAATGAGAAATCAATCAGCATGCATTGGCTACTAAAAATGATGGGACCGGGTGCATCTCAAAAGGCCTATGGATACCAAGAAACAAACCTCCGTTTCCTCTCTACTGCCTTAACAGATGGAACCTTGGAAAGGGACTAAATAACAGATGCTTGCATGTATTTCAGCAATATTGCAAATGCAAAGCTAGTGAAAGGAACTGAAGCAACAAGGATTGCATTGCAGTCCATTTGCCCCCACTCAAATCCTAGTAACATCAAAAAAGTGCTAAATTCAGCAGGCAATTAATTTTTACCTCAATTATTAGCTGGTGGGGTGGCCAAGGATGAAATTAAAGAAATGAGATTGCACCCTCAGCTGCAGATTGCTCAGTTTTTTCATAAATGGCCTGCAGCATATCAGAATTAAGGCACTGATCCACAACCCCAAGTGAATCTACCATTGTTAATGCTCTTGTTGCATTCAGTCTCATCCACTGGAGGAAAATACTGCATCTCAAAATGGGATTGTTTGGATTGCAAGTGCTTTCTTGCCTGTTCATCTCAGGAATACCTAGTATGACCAACACCGGTTTTTGAAAACTGAATTAAGCTAGTTACCATAACACACTGCACAGACCAATTTTGTATCATTAGCTTGGTTAAAAATTACTGCTTGCTTATTGAGAACAGCCTGCCTGCTTTTAGCCTCTCAGAGTGCAGCTGCTGAAGCACATGCACCTTTAATTCCACAAGCAAACTATTAGAAACAGAACTGGCCAAACCAAGTCTCTTTCCGGGAATTGGCTATTTTTGAACAGGACTGTTTGTGAGTATAAGCAGAGAAGAAGAACTAGAGGCAGTTAACAGTTTTGAAACATGTCACTTATGCTCAAGTCCACCAAATAAAACACAACATCTTGCCTGCAGCACAGCCTGATATTGGGGTTTTTCTTGTCACATAATTACATGCTTCTGTGGCAGAACATATTTTTCACAATTACTTACCCTTCCTTCCTTCCTTGCTTTCTTCCTTTCAATCAACCAATCATGAGAGAGTGGACCAGCAAATTACAAAAAAACCTGTCTTAATGATAAAATATAAATAGTGTCTGATCTTACCATTTTTCTTACAACCTGACTGAATGCTCAAGTTTGCTGATTCAGAATAAATATATTTTCTTCTACTTTTTCCTGCAGAAGGATATGAGATTTGTTTTCACAGCTGCTGGTTTCATTGCCACTGTGATTTTTCTCTCCCACAGAACAAAAAACTATTGTACTTTCATTCTGTAACTGCAATCCTGTGGTCACAAAACGGCACTTCTCCAGGGGTTCAAGAGTGTGAAGTGGCCACAGAAAATGCCTGTGGCTGGTGTAGCTAATAAGTAGTGCTTATGTGTCACCACTTTGCAAAGAGAAAGTAGGGTCAATCCTTAAACACACCACAGTGTTTCTTCCTTCACATGGAGGAAAAAAGGCACAAGCAACTTTTATTGTGTTGTTAAACACTGTCTTTTGTCATGCTTTGGTCAGCCGCAGAGATAATTTTACCAAATTCTAGTTCCCACAATGGTTTCTCCTCTCAGTTATTCTTGTTACAGATAATGAAATACCATTCAACAGCACAGTTCTGCACTGAGCCTCACTGAAACTGAGCTAACAGTCTTGTCTCAACATTAAATACTTTGGAGGTTTAACTCTTGAGAAAAGCTGTCTATGGAAGTATGATCCAAGCCTGAGTGAGACACACCAGAAAGATAGAGCAGCACATGGATTCCTGGGGTTAAGAATATAAATCCTACAAAAATCCTGTAAGAAGGAGACCAGACTTTTGCGTACTCCTGTCTCAAAAAGCCTTGACAACAGGCTTTTCCAGCACAAGTCATGTCAACTCCCACCCACGTGGCCCTGCTACTATCCTCAAAAATGCATCCAAAAGGGACATGCATCTATGAAGCTGCAGTACACTTTCTGAGACTTTCACAAGTGCTAAGGACTCTGTTTTTATGCTCTTCAACCCCTGTCTTGACATTACTTACAGTATCAGTATGACAGCTCCCAGAAAGGATGCATACTTTTACACAGAGCAATCAATGTACAGCCCAGCACAGGAGGGACAAGACAAATAGTAAGCACAATTTCATCTTTGGGGAAAGATCCTAAAAGCCATTTTTGTACCCTTTTTTGTCTTAGCAAAACTTGTTCATACGTTTTATAATAATTTATAAGGATTATGTATACAATAAACTCTCAGTACTGCATTCTATCTGTTTCTATAACTTAGAATCATAGAATCATAGAATGGTTTGGGTTGGAAAGGACCTTAAGATCATCTAGTTCCAACCCCCCCATGCCATGGGTAGGGACACCTCACACTAAACCATGTCACCCAAGGCTCTGTCCAACCTGGCCTTGAACACTGCCAGGGATGGAGCATTCACAACTTCCCTGGGCAACCCATTCCAGTGCCTCACCACCCTTACAGTAAAAAACTTCCTCCTTATATACAATCTAAACTTCCCCTGTTTAACTTATTAGCACATACATTGTAATGATGTTAAAAATCCATCTGTGTAACATTTTGTGATGAGAAAAAAACTGTTCCTTCATAAAATTCTAGTCTTTGCAATCTTTAATCTAAACCACATCTTAATAACACTGAACAGTGATTTCCCTCCTGTTAACCAGAAGAGAGTCTGGACTGATCATTGTTCCAGGCTCTGCTACTGGCTGGCCCCAGGTAATAACATTTTCATCAACAACAAAACATTCATCCTCCATAAATGCCAGACCTTTGCCTCTTGGCTCAAACAGATGCTCTTTCCAAACATTCCTTCTCTGCTTCTTTGATCTGTATTTGAAGTACTTTGGACAGCCAACAGCACTGCTGGCTTTCTGTTCAAGTGAACACTAAGAATTATCCTAGAATGGGTTGGGAGGGACCCTAAGAATCATCTGGTTCTAACCCCTTGCCATGGGCAGGGACACTTTCACTAGACCAGGTTGCTCAAAGCCCCACACAACCTGGCCGTGAACACTGCCAGGGATGGGGCAGCAGCAGCTTCTCTGGGTAATTTTTTCCAGTGCCTCACCACCTTCCCAGTAAAGAACTTCTTCCTAATGTCTAATCTAAATCTACTGGCTTTCAGTTTAAAACCATTCCTCACAGTATTACTACATGTTCTGATAAAGTGTCACTCCTCATCTATCCTATAGTCCTGCACTGAGGTACTAGAAGGCTGCTATAATCTCCCTGGAGTTTGCTCCATGCTGAACAGCCTGTCTTTGTAGGAGAGGGCCTCCAGCCCTCTGACCATCTTCATGGCCTTTTCTGGACTCACCCCAACAGCTCCACATACCTTATGCGTTGGCAACCTCAGAACTGCACAAAGTACTCCAGGAGAGCTCTCATGGGAGCAGAGTAGAGGGAAACAATCACCTCCCTTGAGGTGCTTCTGCTTCTTTTGACACAGCCCAGGGTGCAGTTTGCTTTCTGGGCTATAAGTGCACACTGCTGGTTCATATTAAGTTTTTCATTCACCAATTGCATTATTATTAATTGCATATTAATAATATTAATTATCAATATTTCATGACACTGGTGCTGAAGAAAAAAGTAATACAAAGTCAACATCTGTCATGACTGTCACAAGTTTTCTGCTTTTAGCTTGAATTCTGCATAGCAGGATAATGA